AATGCCTCATTTCCACTTTATTATCACTTTCTGGCCCATGTATGATAATGTCCCTTGTCTAAGTATGCTTCTCTAAGAACTGAGACTGACTCCAAAAACAACACAAGTAACTTACAATTTAAAACACAAGTTTACTAATGGCTTGAATCTACATATGCATAGAGACTATTATATCTTAAGCTAGCTAAGGCAAAGGAGTCAGATAAGGCTGCATCCTATCAGCCTACCTATTCAACCTATATGCAGAACATATTGTAAGGAAAGCAGGCTTGGACATGGAAGAGGGAGGAGTGAAAATAGGAGGAAGAAATATCAACAATCTGATATACGCCGACGACACCATAATACTAGCAGAGAACCTCACAGACCTGGAACAACTACTAGGGAAGATCAAAGTGCAAAGGCAGGCTTAACACTGAACATAAAGAAAACAAAAATAATGACCACAGAAAACGTATGCACATTCAAACCAGACAATGAGGAAATAGAAATAGTTAAAGAGTTCTCATACCTGGGATCAAACATTGATAGAAATGAGGACTGCAGCCAAGAAATCAGGGCAAGATTAAGAATGGGGAGAACAATGAAAGAACTAGAAAAGATCCTGAAATGCAAAGACATTCAACTCAACACAAAAGTCAGAATCATACAAGTCATTGTATTCCCTATTACCATGTATGGATGTGAGAGCTGGGCAGTCAAGAAAGAAGATAGGAGGAAGATCAATTGAGATAATGTGGTGCTGGAGAAGAGTGCTGAGGATCCCATGGACAGCCAAAAGGACAAACAAATGGGTCCTAGAGCAGATCAAGACAGAGATATCCCTAGAAGCCAAGATGACAAGACTTAGGATGTCGTACTTTGGACATATCATGAGAAGGCATGAATCGTTGGAAAAGACAATAATGATAGGAAAGATGGAGGGAAGTAGAAAGAGATGAAGGCCACATGTTAGATAGATGGACTTTATTAAAGAGACCACAAATATGAGTTTACAGGAGCTGGGCAGAGCCGTAGAAGACAGGGAGGCCTGGAGATATCTCATCCTTAGGGTCACCATGGATTGAGACCGATGCGAAGGCAGTTAACAACAACAACAAAGCTAAGGAATAATTCAGATAAAAAAATAAATCTTTATCTCACCATCTATCCAAAGAAAGTTGAGAGAGGAAAAAGATGGGGAACCCAACAGGGCAAGAGAAAATCTTTTTTGTGTGAGCTTCTCAAAAGAGGGAGTGACGTGAATCACACATGGTTTGTTTACCAATTTGCAATGTTATTGCCCTGTGATTCATTAATAGCAAATGGGATGTTTGAAAGAGGGAGAGACTGCAGGATTTATAGTTTTTTGTGGGTTTTTCAGGCTGTGTGGCCATGTTCTAAAAGAGTTTCTTTCTGATATTTCGCCGGCATCTGTGGCTGGCATCTTCAGAGAAAAAAACATGGCCACACAGCCCGAAAAACCCACAAAAAAATATGGATGCCGGCCATGAAAGCCTACAACTTCACAGCAGGATTTGCACGCAGGAAAATCTATCTATCTAAAGAGGGGAAGAGAGAATGCAAAAAAACTTCCAACAGGGATGACATTACTTCTTTCGCAGGGTGTAGTGACCAGAAAACCTTTCTTACTGCACAATGATAGCACTTATGATCCTGCTTTAACTGCCATGGCAATGTCCTATGGAAGCCTGGGATTTGTAATTCAGTGAAATACGCTGGCTGAGAATTCTAAGTATCCCTCCCTAGACTACAAAGCCCAGGATTCCTTAGGACATTGCCATGAAAGTTACAGTGAAATCATAATGCCAGGACTGCATTTCTACTTCCTTCCACCTT